GAATAACCATTCAGAAGCAGGATTATCCTCACATGTGGACGTTTGACAGACATGGTTTACCTTTTCTTCTGGCTCTCCTTTCATTGTTTCTCATTCTAGTACAGACACAGCAACCATTTATCCCAAGCTGAAGATCAGGGCACTTCTGCTGACAACGGATCTTTTAGAATTTATAATGCACTTTTTTGAAGTATTACTTGAATGTGTTTTATGTATTTAAATTATTTAGACACTAGACCATACCTTAATACATATTTAGCAAAACAAATTTAGTTAAAGGTAAATTTATATTTAAAAAAACTCTACCAAAAGTACTATTTGTTCATCACCCACTTATCAAGCACTTGTTATATTTGCAGCGGTCTCATTTTAATAATTTACTTTGCAAATTCTTCTGCCTGACCTTGCACTTTTTAAAATTTTATAATTTTTTTTTTTACTTTTAACAAAATAATACATGTACATTATTTTTACATGAATTTAGCAAGTTTATAAGAAAGAGTAACAGTCTCTTGCTTCATCTTTTCTTAGGCCAAGTCCATCATCTTTGAATCTTTTGGTAATGTCCTCCCTCTATTTCCTCTTTCTCTCTTTCTGGAACTGCTGCTGATTGAATGTTCAAATTTCACAAAATATTCACTAATTTTCCTGCTTTATTTTTATTTTACATCTTAGCATTTTTGTCAAATTTTGAGAGTTTTCTCAAATTTATCTTTCAATCCTTACATTGAGTCTCTCTTTCTCCTATTTCATTTTCAAAGCTCACCCTCCTTCTCTGAGTGTTCCTTTTGAGAATACACCATACCTATCTCATAGATGCAACATCTTCTCTTATCTCTTTGAGCACATTATTGTTTTAAACCTTTTCTCCCTGCGTTATTTCTACTCCAAGTTTCTTTTTTCTGGGTGTTTCAGTCACTCTTTTTCAGGTTAGAAGTTTACTTAAATGTCTGGTAATCCTTAATTGTCAATTTATGTTTTCCTATTTTATCTCCTATTTTATTTGCCAAACTGCTATATATGAGTTCCCTTGGCTCTATTTCAAGAATGAGCAAAAGTTTTATGGAATGCATTATATAGTAAATATTTTAGGGCTATGGATCTCTGGTACAACTACTCCACTCTACTATTGTAGTGGGAAAGTAGCCATAGGTTATATGTTAACAAATGAGTAAAGCTGTGTTCTAATAAAACTTTATTTGCAAAATAGGTAACAGGCAGAATTTGGCTCATGTGCCATAGCTTTCCAACTCTTTCTCTATATCAATGTTGATAGTTTATATTTTTATACTTTTCAATAGCAAATATTTATTTTGGCAAAAAAACAAAAACAGAAAAAGAGAGATAAAGCAAATATGACAAAATGTTAACAAATAGTTAATTCTAGGTGATTCCAATGCTACATGTCCATATACTCTTTCATTATTTCTCTAGGTTTGAAATTTTTCAAAATAAAAAGGTAGAGAGGAAAACTCTGATGAAAAGTCTAACTAGCCGAAACCGGTTTGGCTCAGTGGATAGAGCGTCGGCCTGCGGACTGAGGGGTCCCGGGTTCGATTCCGGTCAAGGGCATGTACCTGGGTTGCGGGCACATCCCCAGTGGGGGATGTGCAGGAGGCAGCTGGTCGATGTTTCTCTCTCATCCATGTTTCTAGCTCTCTATCCCTCTCCCTTCCTCTCTGTAAAAAATCAATAAAATATATTTAAAAAAAAAAAAAGTCTAACTACATTCTGCCCTGATATATTAAAATAGCCTCATGGTAAATAGTGGCAACATTATGTAAAAGCCAAAGCTAAAGTCCTTACTTAGGATCTTTAAAAAATGTATTAATGTTCAACATTTTTAAATAATTAAGAAAAAGTGGGAATTGAAACATTATTACTATATTTTCAGTAATAAGAATCAACATCAGAATTCTTTTGTTATATCAAACTATTCTATGCTTAGAAAAACTGCATTAAAATTTAGGGACTTATTTCATATGTTACAAATAAGTAAAACGTTGAATATTTTAACACATTTTACATCAAGTGTAAGAACCTCAGATGTGTTATTAACTTTGCTATTCTTAACTAGATAACCAGTCTCCCCCAATATTCTATTGATGATATTAGATGATTTCAAGAAAAGGAAGGAAAGTTTTACATCTGTAGTGTTTGTTATTAATTATCTCACATGCCAACAATCTTACCAGTAAGCCTCACCAGCTCAGAACACAAAAAACAGTCCATTTTTCTCACCTGTTAAACATATTACTTTTAAGAAACTTACATTCCAGAACAGCTGTGGAAATAGTGAAATATTTAAATTAAAGATAGAAAACATTTCTTCTAGAAATATTTTCCTGAAAATCTAATAACATCAACTGAACACTGGTGGAGATTGATTATGTAGAGTAAAATAATTAATAACACATCTGAAGTTCTAGTATACTTGATGTAAAGTGCATTAAAATATTTGACATTTTACTTATTTGTAACATATGGAAGGAGTTTGTCAACTTTTAAATAAAATTTTTCTAAGCATAGACCAAACAAATTTAGTGTTATGTGATAAGAATTCGGATATTGATTCTTACTTCTGAAAATACAGTAATAATGTTTCAACTCCTTTGTTCACTTGTCCTAACATATATTAAACCATAGTGGGAAACTATGATAGTTGCAAAAAGGTCGCCCTGCCTTGGAACTGGATCAAGAGAAACAGCATATCACATCGAGAGTTTAAATCATGCAATTTAATATTGCAAGTGTCATAAATCAGTGGAAATGATCAACATATTGAGCATTTTATATTTCTTTATAATTTTCACTTATATTATAATTTACAAATTAAGGAACAGAGTGGAAAAGTTAATTTGCCTAAGGACTTATGACTATTATAAGACATAAACGAGAATCACATATACTTTTTCTAAATCAAAACCCATGTACTCATCCACTATATCATTCTGTCTCACTATGAACAGGGATGTATGTGTTTGGTTTGGTGAAAGTGGCAAAAAGCTAGATGAAGGTTAGTCAAGTCAAATGGCAGGTGATATTACAAGATCACTAATAGAAAAAAGTCATAATAAGTGAGGAATAAATTTGGTATAAGGGACTACAGTGACTAACAGACTTTATATATGGTATGAAATGTTCCTGTAAACCACCTAGCCAGCCCCCAAGGGGCACCTATAGGCCTTCAGCAGGAAAGGGCTATCTGGTAACATTTGAAGTTTTATTTCATTAAGAAATCAAGGGGTGCTTTTCCTCCATAAAATAACTGCACCCAAGAACAATAAGATGTTTCCCACCTGGTGAACCAACATGAACCTCAGAAATGGTGGACAGAGCTCAGGGAGGAGACAACAAAGACAGCAAATCCCTGTAGTGTCAGAAATCACAGTGTCCTCCAAATTCCACTTTCTCGTGTCATCGTAGGGTTGTAATTGGGCACACAGCCGTGGGCAAACTACGGCCCACGGGCTGGATCCGGCCCGTTTGAAATGAATAAAACTAAAAAAAAAAAAGACCGTACCCTTTTATGTAATGATGTTTACTTTGAATTTATATTAGTTCACACAAACAGTTTATCCATGCTTTTGTTCCGGCCCTCCGGTCCAGTTTAAGAACCCATTGTGGCCCTCGAGTCAAAAAGTTTACCCACCCCTGCACTAGCTAAACCACATTCACAAGCCTCTCTTGAAGTTGGGTGTGGCCCTGTAACTAATTTCTAATCAATAATTTAAGAAATTGGTATAACTGCTTCACACTCTCCTTTCCCACTGATGAAGACAAGGCTCTAGAAATTGGTACAGCTCCCACATATATGGAACCTGGGTTCTTGAATCACCGAGTGGAGGAGAGACACCCACTAATGAAGACCGTAGACTGCTGCATGAGGAAGAAATAAAATGCCACTGTGTTTGAGCCATTAAACTATTTTGGGTCTATTTTTCAATATGGGTAAGCCCAATCTGACTAAGACAAATGGTCTATGCATCATTCAGACATAAGCAACATTCTTCTACATCTGAGGAAACAGCAAAGTTTGGCTGTTGGAAATAATATGTACACAGCAGTTCAGAGTAGGTGACATAACAATTGGTGATGAGAGTGGCAGCAGATATTGGCGAGAGAGACATGATGAACAGAAACTAGAAGAGGAGAAATATAGATGCTTAGAGAGCTGCTGCTTAGGAAGTCACAGAGAGCTATACCAGAGGGACAAGGTTCAGAGCAGGTCATTTGACTGAGGGCTACTGACCCTTTACAGTTAGGAACAAACTTTGAAGCACAGTTATCCACCTTCTTCAGACTGTTGGTGCCTTAAAAATATTCAGGTTATATGTGTTTGTGTGGATAGGAACATGCTATACACGGATACATGCATATATGTAGTCAGAATGTATATACTCCAACCTGTGAAAATATTAACACTGAAGGATTTTAGGTAGATTTTCTGTTTTTCCTGTTGAATCATTTAAACTGTTTAAAAGAAGCATACCATACATAGTGAATTTTTTTTTTCATTTCGAGGAAGAAAAATTCTATTAATTGTATATTTTCACGAAAAAATTTAAGTGGCTATCTATAAATAAATATGTAATAAGGATGAGATACAAAGTTTTGTCCAATTCCTACTGTGAAATCTTTCAAGAAATGAATATTTACACACCACAGAGAATATGACCACATGTTTGCCAGTTCTCCTGTTACACAATAAGCTCCTTTGAAGGCTGGCTCTGTATTGTGTTCCTGGTTATCACTGGCACTTGGCACGCAGGAGGCACTGAGGAATGTTAAGTGAATGAATTTATGAATACATGAGTATTCTAGTAGCTTTTAATGTGTAAATTCAATGGCAATTGTTACATTATTTCAGCTCTGGAATCCTTATTCCCTATTATTTCAGTTTTGCTAAGTATATGACAAAGTAATTGACTGATCACACCTAAGACACCTAAACAGTGTTCCTTCTCTTTTCTTTCTTTCTTTCACTTTACATGTCACAGCTCCGTTCAACCCAAATCAAGGTGCAGATAGCATTGTCAAGTTTGATGCTTTTGGAGATGGAATGGGACGGTACAACGTGTTCAATTTTCAGTACGTGGGTGACAAGTATTCCTACTTGAAGGTTGGTCACTGGGCAGAATCCTTATCGCTGGATGTCGACTCTATCCATTGGTCCCGGAACTCAGTCCCCACTTCCCAGTGCAGTGACCCCTGTGCCCCCAATGAGATGAAGAATATGCAACCAGGGGATGTCTGCTGCTGGATCTGCATCCCCTGCGAGCCCTACGAATACCTGGCTGATGAGTTTACCTGCACGGATTGCGGCCTTGGGCAGTGGCCCACTGCAGACCTATCTGGCTGCTTTGACCTTCCTGAGGACTACATCAGGTGGAAAGATGCCTGGGCCATTGGTCCAGTCACCATTGCCTGCCTGGGTTTTGCGTGCACATGCATGGTTGTGACTGTTTTTATCAAGCACAACAACACACCCTTGGTCAAAGCATCAGGCCGAGAGCTCTGCTACATCTTGTTGTTTGGAGTTGGTCTATCGTATTGCATGACATTCTTCTACATTGCCAAGCCGTCCCCAGTTATCTGTGCATTGCGCCGCCTGGGACTTGGGACCTCCTTCGCTATCTGCTACTCAGCCCTGCTGACCAAAACAAACTGCATCGCCCGCATCTTCGATGGGGTAAAGAATGGCGCTCAGAGGCCAAAGTTCATCAGCCCAAGTTCTCAGGTTTTCATCTGCCTGGGTCTGATCCTGGTGCAAATTGTGGTGGTGTCTGTGTGGCTCATCCTGGAGGCTCCGGGCACCAGGCGGTACACCCTTCCAGAGAAGCGGGAAACAGTCATCTTGAAGTGCAATGTCAGAGATTCCAGCATGTTGATCTCACTTACCTACGACGTGGTCCTGGTGATCTTATGCACTGTGTACGCCTTCAAAACGCGGAAGTGCCCAGAAAATTTCAATGAAGCCAAGTTCATTGGTTTTACCATGTACACCACCTGCATCATCTGGCTGGCCTTCCTCCCTATATTTTATGTGACATCAAGTGACTACAGAGTAAGTCTTTCAGTGGTTTCTTCTTTTCCTTCTTCTTTTATCCTGCCAATGCTTTGCTATGTAAGATTTAAAATAGACTCCATTTATTTCATCTCAGCAATTAGGTAGGTAATTACAAATGCCATGATGAACCGCCATATTATACATGGAAATCAATTCACTATGTTTTAAAAGTGTTTCATCAGTGCCTACTATGTGCAAAGCATTGGGCTAGGCACAGAGAGGAAGATAAATGTAAATCATGGTCATTTAAGCAATTTATAAACAAGTGGGAGAAAATGTACTACACAGTCACACATACCTCTAAAACTTTTAATTAAATTTCAAAAGTGAATGATAAGCAAATAAGACTTAAACACTAAAAGCCTAATGAGAGTACTTCAAATTAGACACAGGAGGACCTGGCTACCACAGAGCAATATATATACACATCCAAGTAACCTAATTAAGTCATTATTCATATAGTCTTTAGTAATATATAGTTCAAATTTCTGGGCTTCTATATCATCATCTCTTCTGAAAGAAAGAGTTCATCATTCCACCATAATTTCTCAAACTGTTGAAACCATCCATCAGTAGCTTTTGCATTTATAATTCTGATTTTAATATCTTCCAATGAGTGAATATATAAATCTTTTTCTCTTGAGGCAATTGGATTTCATTCTCTATATTTCTTAAATTGTCACAGATGAAAGTTTTCCAGAGGCATAATGGTTCCCTTGTTATGCCATGATTTCACAAAATGAAGTGCCTCTGTAGGCTGTAATAGTCCCCAAATCTTCTGTTCATCAGCAATTCCTACATTATCAAAATCTTGGATATTGCAGCTCAATAAAAGACAGAGCTATTTAAAGGATGGGATCAAGAGACTGGCGACACTTATGGTACCTAGTCCATTTAATTATTCATAGCCGTGTGACTAAAACCTATGGACTACATTAAAGAAAGAACAAGAAAATAAAGACCACACATTCAATGCTGGGTTAATGGTCAGGGCTTCTAAGACTACCTGTTTAAAAAAATTAGAAAATCTGTCCAAAAGGAAAACAAAGGTCATATTATATGAACCACAGAGCAGTTTGAAGCTTTAGAGCAGGGGTCCTCAAACTTTTTAAACAGGGGGCCAGTTCACTGTCCCTCAGACCGTTGGAGGGCCGGACTATAGTTTTTAAAAAAAAAAACTATGAACAAATTCTTATGCACACTGCACATATCTTATTTTGAAGTAAAAAAAACAAAACGGGAACAAATACAATATTTGTATTTGCATGTGGCCCGTGGGCCATAGTTTGAGGACCCCTGCTTTAGAGGGTGGAGATTTAAATAGAGAATCATAGTTAATATATTTTAATGCCCCCATTTTTATTTTTTTTATTTTTTGTCTTCATGTACACATTGACTCCTCTAGATCTGTAAGGATTTTTATTTTAAGTTCTTAGGAAACTATCCTTAGCATATGTGATTTTGGGAATTGGGACTATAATATACTTACAATGTTAATTATTTTATCCTGGATGTATGAAACTTTATTCTCAAAATCTAATTAAAAACAGAGCAGAAAACACTATTAAAAATAAACAAATAGCATTATAAAAATTTACTTTTATTGAGTGAATTAGCATTTATTTCTAAAACACACAAAAATATGAATTTTCCCCTTTACCATAATAGCAATGTATATCAACTGACTCAACAGAATTAGCTGAAGATACCAGAAGTTTCACCACATGGCAGAAGTCCTTAGGCAAATGGGGCAAAAGGTGTTGGGTTGAGAGTGTTTTAAGATCCTAATTAATGCATCCAATCATAGTGAGGTCATCTTAGACCTCAGGTACTCCTCGCAAATAATGCCAATCCTAAATTTACAGAAGAAATCAAAGGTAGACTGGAGGCTCCAACACATTGGCTTTCAAATTAGCCTGCACATTGAATTGATTGGGTAGCTTTGGAAAAAATAATGCTACCTGGGACACAGCCCCAGAGATTCTGGTTTAGTTGGCCTAATCCATGACCCAGACATCAGAATCTTTCAAAGCTCCCCAAGTGACTCTCATTGCAACCAAGACTGAAAAAC